AAGTGGAGAAAAAGGGGTATGCGTGTCTCTGCGTGCACAAGTACAGGTAAAGGAGGAGTACGTGGGCGCAGAGAGAGCAAGAAAGAGTAAGGGAGGAGGGGAGTCTGGGTAGAGAGTCACCTCCCATAGGGGAAGGCAAGAGGCTCCAGGTGGCAGGCAAACCCAGCAGCATGGTCCTGGAGGTCTCAGCTGAAGGACAGGATACTGAACAGTAGCTCAACTGCAGTAGGATATATTCCTTTTCACTGCCAGTGGCTACAGTGAAGGAAGTCTAATACCTGCATAGGATGCTCATGAATAAAAAGAATCCTGCCTTTTTGCACCCAGGGGATTGGGCTATTTAAGAAACTAGGAACAGCACGTTTACCTTCAGGCACCAGCCCCACACTGCAGGAAGGTAAATATAAATCTATTTCTCATCTTCAATCTTGCATGTGTAGTTTTATTACCAGTAGTAGTATTTCCACACTTCGCAAATGACAGTAGCACAGCTAGGTAAGGCTTGGACTGGGCTTGGTGGGAAAACTGGGTGAGGCCTATCATTTAAAAAGTATCCATTATTGACAACATATAATTAGACTTAGTGTTTTGACCTCATTTAACAGGTATTTATTCATTTAATTAGAAATGTCTATTTTTTTCCTTTTTTATTTTCTAGCTTTGGTAATACTTTCTGCATTTTCTTTTTTTTTTAATGCGATTCTTTTGCTAATTTGCTTTATCTTCCATGTTAATTTGAAAGGCATATAGTTCATTTTAGCCCAAGTAGTTATTGCTCTTTTTGTTTTAAATAATAGTCTAAATCCAACAGTTCTTAGTTTATCAGTTTCAGAAATAAAACCCTTTTTTAATTCCTTTTTCTTAATTACACTTAAAGAAAAAAATAGTATACCTATATTATCCCTGCCACTTCCAATTATTTCTTTTTGTAAACATAGTCTAGTCTGTTATCAGATATTATTTTTTATTATGTTAGCTTTTCTTTAATAAATTATATCAGTTTCTATCACTTCATTTTAATATTTACCAATATTAAATGGATTCATTGTTTTGCTGCCAGTCTTTTCATACTCAAAGTAACTTCCCCATTCAAGAGTTTATTTTCAGGAATGGTTTGGGAGTACTTTCATATTGAAGAATGTGTTTTGTTTTTCTCTACACATGTCTAGAGTGCTGGCCATGTTGAATTCTTGAGGAACATAAATCTTTCCTCTGTCCTTTACAGACATTCGGCATCCTGTATCCCTGGGAAGATCTCTTAGGCGAGTTTTTCTTAAAAAAAAATTGTATTTAACTTTAAAATTAGGTCTCTAAATGCCATGAAGACATACTGAATCTTATGATTAAGTTTCCTGTAGTACATAATGATGTTCAAACTTAAAATGATTAATATTTTCCAGAATAACAAACTTTGTTGTTCTTTTTCTCATTTTTTCTGAAATATATATACAGAAGAATCTGTAAAATATATGTGCTATTTAACAAAAATCTACATACTCTTCTAAGCCCTTTATAAATATTGACCACTTTTTATTCTTATATGAACACTATGAGAGGGATACATTTAACAGATGATGAAACTGGAGTAGAGAGGTTAAGAAACCTGCCAAAGGTCACACAGCTAACAATGTGACAAGTTTGGGCCAGGAAATATGGCTCCAGAGTCCTTAACCTAATCACTAGGTCATATTGCTTTTCTTTATAGTTAATAATGATAAAGATTAATGAGGAATAAAGAAAGGAAACACCAAGCTACCAGAACCCAGATCAAGAAGCAGAGTATGCTAGCATCTTAGAAGTGCTTCGTGTACATCTCCTCGTTCACTTCCTCTTACCTCTACCCAGGACATAATTACTATTCTGACTTTTGTGATCATTCAGTTTTCTTGCTTTTCTTTATAGTATTATCATCTATAAATGAATCTCCAAACAATTTATTTAGTTTTAGTCTGTTTTAAAACTTTATCTAAACGGAGTCTTACTATTTATATTTTTCTATTCCTCTGCTTAAATATCCATTCATATTGATATGTGTAGGTTTAGTTTATTAATGCTCACTGTTGCTAGTGATTCTATTGTATAAATATTTGACAATTTAGTTACCTATTCTATTGTTAATGGACATTTGGGTTATTTCTAATTTTTTGCTATTATGTACAATGCTACTTTAAAAATGATGAATCCTGGTATATACCACTGCAAGGTAGATTTATCTAAGTATATATACCTATATATGCTAAATATATATATTAGTATATATACTTGCTAAATCAAAACCTCTGTGACTGTTCTAGTTTGTACTAAACTATTTTTCAAATACTTTAACCAAATTGCATTCCCACCAGCAGTAAGTGAAAGTTCCCATTGTTGCACATTTTCCCAAAATTTGAGGCTTTCAGTCTGAATTTGTGCATTTTGTTACTTAGGTGGATGTATTAGTCCGTTTTGTGTTGCTATAACAGAATACCTGAAACTGGGTAATTTATAAAGAACAGAGGTTTATTTGGCTTACAATTCTGGGACAGCTGCATCTGATGCAGGTCTCAGGCTGCTTCTACTCATGGCGAAAGCGGCAGGTAGCTGGTGGGTACACGCAGCTCACATGGTGAGAGGGAGCAAGAGAGAGCAGAGAGGGGAGGTGCCAGGGTCTTTTTAAACAACAAGCTCTTGGGGGAACTAATAGAGTGAGAACTCACTCATTACTCCCCCCACCTAAGGAGAGCACTAATCCATTCATGAGGGATCCACCCCATCACACTGGGGATCAGATTTCCACATGAGTTGTGGCAGGGACAACACGTCCAAATTCTGTCAGTGGATGTAGTAATGGTATCTTATTATGATTTTAATCTGCCTTCCCTGGTTACTCTTGAGATTGGGCATCTTTGCTTATGTTTACAAACCATTCAGGTTTCCTTTTCTTAAGAGTTTATTGAAGTCTTTTGCCCATTGTTCTAGTGGGTTTAGTGTTTCCTACACATTGTTTTCCAAGTGTAGGTTCTAGTTCTTTGTGGGTCTTGTGTTGCAAATATCTTCTCCCAGTATGGTTTTTTTTTTTTTTTTAAAGCTTTCTTTATGATGTCTTTTGATGATTGGAAGCATTAAATTTTCTTCCAATGTTTATTCTTGTTTTTGGTTTTTATGCAGTTTTTTCCATCTTTCTCCTGATTTTATTACTTTTAAAATTGTATTCCCCCCCCCCCAAAAAAATTGTATTCCCTGAACCTCTACATAGTTTTCAAATTTAGTATTTTCTGTGTATCACTAATCCCAAAAAAATTGTATTCCCTGAACCTCTACATAGTTTTCAAATTTAGTATTTTCTGTGTATCACTAATCTCTGAATGGAGGCCGTTCTGTCCAGGCTTTGTATTCATCCGATAGTGTGAATGGATTCTCCTTTGCTCTTTACATTGTTTACTGGGTAGCACTTTATATATTTCCAAAGAACTTGAATTGGATGGCTGGAGGTGAGCACAGTGAGGCAGGGTGAGAGGTAGCTTCCAATTCCTGTGTTGCCTGCTGATGTTTTCATACTCATTGGATAGGTTCTCTCTTTGGGGTTATTTAGTGGTGTGTGTGTTTTGCAGGCTTTCCATGTCTTCTCTCATTTTATGTAAGCAGGTCAGGTTGGAAGGAAGAGCCTGATTAATGCATATCTCTTGCTTCACAGTAAACTTGTGCTCACAGGCCTTTGGTTTGTTGGTTCAAGGTTGATCTCTGCTCCATTGACTTTGATCAATAACTGTAAAGCTTATTCTCAGATTTCAGTTTCCTGTCCTCTACTCCTCATTGCCTCCAGGCCATTTTGTCTGGAATAAGAAAAGGGATCTGAGAAAATAAAGTCTGAGTGACTACAGGGTCTTTCCTTCAGCCCCATCTCAAGCAGTTCAACAGATTCTCCCTTGCCTGCCCCTGCCACCAGTTCTCACCTTTAAAGAATGGATATTTAGAGATAGGTAGGGCCCATTAGGACTCACTCACCTCTGTGAGAAAATTATAGTCTGCTTAAAGTTTGACTGGAGAAAGCTTTCCTTTTTTTTTTTGTCTTTTTTCGTGTCCGGCAACGGATCGCAACCCTCAGTGTCACGCCCGTACAGGACCAGGACTGGCAACGGGATCGCAACCCTCGGTGTTGGGATCGCAACCCTCGGTGTTGCGCCCGCACCTTGCTCAGCCAGTGAGCGGGAACCGGTCTGTGTGGGATCCGAACCCTCGGCGGGAGTGCCGCCACGCTCCCAAGCGGCACACTGTAGCAGTGCGCCACCGGGCCAGCCCTGGAGAAAGCTTTTAGATTGTGTCATTTTCTCTTAAGAGTTTAAGTTTCATGTATGTTCTGGTATTTTATGCTCCAGATGAGTATGTTTCTGAAGGGTACTTTACATACATTATTTTACTTCTTATCAGATTATTTTTATTCCTATTTTATATCTGTGAAAACTCAGACCCAGAGAGACAATTAACTAGTTAAGATGTTAAGAGCCAGGGTTTGAGCCCAAATTTATCTGACTTCAGGGTCAACAATCTTTTCACTATGTCACACTGTTATTTTTATGAAGATTAATTTGGTGTAAAATTCTAGGCAGCCTTGTAGGATGCAAGAAACTGTTGGTAGGAATACCAGGTACAATGTGGCAAGGCTTTCTTATCTGCCTCTCCCAATCCCAAATCTGTATATTTTCCCTTAGTTCCATCTTCATTATTTAGCCCAGTCCTGTGGTCAGGGATTTTACTGCCCATCCCTCCTGAACAGGCTCTCTCTCTTTTCTGCTTACCCAATGTATCTGCCATCCCCTGCTTCTAGTTCCCATATTATCTATGGACCAGTTCCCTGTTCTTTCCCTCCCTTCCAATTTCTCTACCTAATTATAGGACATCCTTGAAAGCTGTCAGATGTGCCCAGTAGTTATTCTAGTTTCATTCTCTCATTCCCAGCTTATACAGTTTTCAGTCTCCCAGCAGAAAAACCAATGTGCATTTGAATTTTTTATTTTTTTCAGACTGGGAGACAAGACTTGAAACCAAAGAGTCAACTCCAAAGCCCAACAGTACTGAAGATTTATTTCATGGGGTAATAATGGAAAGGGAAGGTCTCTGGCATTCTACTTTAGGGGAAACCTGGGAACCTGATAATTGGCTAGAGGGGCAACAGAAAAACCAGAAAAGACCTCTGGGCCAAGTGGCAGTTACCCATAAGGAAACCCTCACTAAGAAAAGAGTATGTGAAGGTAATGAATTTGAAAGATATTCCTGTCAAGGTTCAGTCTTTGATACACAACAAAGCATTCCTATGGCAAAAAGACCCCATAATTGGAGTTCACATGAAAAAGATGCCAAACAAAATTCTGAGTTAATGAAAACGCAAAGAATGTTTGTTAGAAAGAAAATCTATGAATGTAACGAATGCAGGAAAACCTTCAGTCAGAGTTCATCCCTTCTTAAGCACCAGAGGATTCATACTGGGAAAAGATGCCAAACAAAATTCTGAGTTAATGAAAACGCAAAGAATGTTTGTTAGAAAGAAAATCTATGAATGTAATGAATGCAGGAAAACCTTCAGTCAGAGTTCATCCCTTCTTAAGCACCAGAGGATTCATACTGGGGAGAAACCCTATAAGTGTAATGTATGTGGGAAGCACTTCATTGAACGCTCCTCCCTTACAGTACATCAAAGAATTCATACTGGAGAGAAACCCTACAAATGTAATGAATGTGGGAAAGCCTTCAGTCAGAGCATGAACCTTACTGTTCATCAAAGAACTCATACTGGAGAGAAACCCTATCAGTGTAAAGAATGTGGAAAAGCCTTCCGTAAGAATTCATCCCTTATTCAACATGAAAGGATTCATACTGGAGAGAAACCCTACAGATGTAATGAATGTGGGAAAGCTTTTACCCAAAGCATGAATCTTACAGTGCATCAGAGAACTCATACAGGAGAAAAACCCTATGAATGTAATGAATGTGGAAAAGCTTTCAGTCAAAGCATGCATCTTATTGTACATCAGAGAAGTCATACTGGAGAAAAACCCTATGAGTGTAGTGAATGTGGTAAAGCCTTTAGCAAGAGCTCAACTCTTACCCTACATCAGCGAAATCACACTGGAGAAAAACCCTACAAATGTAACAAATGTGGGAAGTCTTTTAGCCAAAGTACATATCTTATAGAACATCAGAGACTTCATTCTGGAGTAAAACCTTTTGAATGTAATCAATGTGGAAAAGCTTTCAGTAAGAATTCATCTCTTACTCAGCATCGGAGAATTCATACTGGGGAGAAACCCTACGAGTGTATGGTATGTGGGAAACATTTCACTGGACGATCATCCCTTACTGTACATCAGGTTATTCACACTGGAGAGAAACCTTATGAGTGCAATGAATGTGGAAAGGCCTTCAGCCAGAGCGCGTACCTTATTGAGCATCAAAGAATTCATACTGGTGAGAAACCCTATGAATGTGATCAGTGTGGAAAAGCCTTCATTAAGAATTCATCCCTTATAGTGCATCAGAGAACTCATACAGGAGAGAAACCCTATCAGTGTAATGAATGTGGAAAAGCCTTCAGCCGGAGTACAAACCTCACACGACATCAAAGAACTCACACATGAGGAAAGTTTCGCTGGCCACTTCATTGTGATTAATCCTTCACTAATAATCAGAAAGTCATTTAATGTAGAAACCTAATAAATGTAACAATTGTGAGGATCTTTTAGTTGAAGTACAGTAAGCCATATCAGATAATACAGACCACTGCAGAGAAACTATATAAAAGTGGAGAAATCTTTATTCAGAAGATAAAACTTACTTTATATCAGAAGGTTTAGGTGGCTAATGTTATAAACAATAGAGATCCGTGCTGAAGATAAGTTCTGATATAGCATAATGCAGATTCTCCTTTGGACAGCAGATACTTCACACTGGAGAGAAAGCATGAGTGTTTAACTGGACAGACCTGGTATATAAATCTAATCTGCAACTAACTTGGACAATACTTTCATCACATGATAATTTCCTTATTGGGTAAATTAGGGATATTTTATTTAGAAGGTATGCAGGATGCCTATTAGCTCTAAAATGCTACAAACCTACAAACATAATGAATGCTCGGAAATCCTTGATCTTTTACTATGTTGTATATGTTGTCTAGATGCTTCTGCTCGAGTCTGGTTTCCTTGGAGGTTTTGAGTCAAAATTTTTTTACCTCTACCGACTCCTATTACCTTTCCATTCCCCTCCCCCTTCTACATTTGTTTTCTCCCCTGAAATACAGACTGGTTTCTATCAGGTGATAGAATAATTATATACATCTTAATGCAATAGCATGCTGTTTTGAGTTCTCATTAATAGTCATTAAAGTGTTATTAAATGAGCTGATTGTTTAGAAAACAGTATAACTTAAATATAGTCTTTAAGTACATAGGAACCAAATACATGTTGTTTTGTGTTCTGACTATAGAAGTGGAGAAGAGAAGGAGGGGCTGAACACTAATAGACATGTAAATTTGACATATAAACAAAATCTTTGCAACTCAAAAAATATTCAGGACAATCAGGGAAATTTTATAGATCTATAATTATGATAGTTAAGAAAGTTTCCTTTATTTCACATACCAAGTCCTAAATATGTACTAGATGTGATTAGAAAATCAAAATGAATAAGATATATTCTTTGTTTTCTAAGGCTAAACTAAGAAAGTAGGTGTGATAGGAGAGGAAAAGAAGACATGAGGTAGAATCTAGAAAACGTGGTAACAGACTAATTGTGGCCACTTGAATGAGAAGGAAGAGTCTAGGATGACTTGAATTTCTAATTTGGTTGGTTAGGGGTGCCATAATTAAAAACACATGAAGTTGACCAATTTTGTGGGGCAATGATGACTTCAGTTTGGGGATATTTTCATGAGTCTGTGGGACAGCCATGTGAAGAGTCCCAATAGGCAGTAGAATAAGTAGAAGGTCATTGGTAAAGGGGAGTACTGTCATTGATGGGGTAGATGAAGGAAAGAGGAATCAGGAGAAGCTGAGAAGAATAAACAGCCAAAAGACAAAAGAAAAATAGAAAGAAAAATCAGAAGGTGGTGCCACAGAAGTAAAAGAATTTTAACATAGGGATAATAGTTAATATTGATAAGATACTATGGAGGATAAAGTAAAATAAAGATAGAAATATCTGTCCTTTGGTTTTGGGGTTTTGGGTCTCTATTTTATTTATCTACTTATCTATTTATTTATTTATATTGGGACATAGGTGATTGTATTGGGTATCAATTTAAAACAGATGTTTTAAAACCTCTATAAGTTTTAGTGGATTGAAGAGTTAAAGTCTGTAAGACTTAGCTTTACTGATGTGGGAGAGACAAAGATACCTAGGGGGAGACTGAGGTTGAGAGGTTATATCTATTAGAAGAGCTTTTGGCTACAAATAATAGAAAGGCCAGTCAGCAATGACTTTTTTTTTTTTCCTTTTTGTCTTTTTTCGTGTCCGGCAACGGATCGCAACCCTCAGGGGGAGACTGAGGTTGAGAGGTTATATCTATTAGAAGAGCTTTTGGCTACAAATAATAGAAAGGCCAGTCAGCAATGGCTTTTTTTTTTTTTTCCTTTTTGTCTTTTTTCGTGTCCGGCAACGGATCGCAACCCTCAGTGTCATGCCCGTACCGGACCGGGACCGGCAATGGGATCGCAACCCTCGGTGTTGCGGCCGCACCTCGCTCAGCCAGTGAGCGGGAACCGGTCTGTATGTGGGATCCAAACCCTCGGTGGGAGCGCCTCCGCACTGTAGCAGTGCGCCACCGGGCCGGCCCAGTCAGCAATGACTTAAGCAAATTTTTCTCACATAATAATCCTGGAGGTGGGGGTATTGGTTCACAGACAAAAACAATTCAGTGTCTTGAGTTTCATGGGGTTCCCATCATGGTCACATCATGGTGGACAAAGCATCAGATAACACACTGCATTCAAGGAAGGAAGAAAGGGGATGGGCAGACCTAGCAGCATTAGTGCCTTTTATCAGAAAAGGTTTTCCCAGAAGCCCCTCAGCAGACTCCTGTTTATACCCCACTGACCACAGCTGTGTTGCGTGACCACTCCTAGCAGCAAGCAAGCCTGAGAAAAGTATTTAGCCCTTCCAGCCTCTGTAGTGGAGGTAGGCAAAGAAAAGGAGGTTTGACAATAGCGTTGATTTAACCAACAATCTGACAGGGCTTGTGTGTGTGATTTAAGGTAGGACTGAGCATGTTTATAACTGAAAAGAAGAGGTGTGGGAGAGTCTGAAAGTGTGGGAAGGAGGAGATGCATGGCCCAAAGTGGAAAAATAAGATTTGGAGCACAGGTGGAAGCTATAGGAATCTTTTTTAACAGGAGGAAGGAAACTCCACTGGGACAGGCAGGAATCAAGAAATGATGGGCACAGAAGATGTTTGTGGGTTGCAATGGAGCAAGTGCTGTGAACTCTCATCATTTGGACCTTAGGCAATCCGGTCTCTCTGGGCTATGTGACTTCTAAGGATTAATAATTTACCAATCTTGGGCCAGCCCGGTGGTGCACTCGGTAGAGTGCGGCGCTTGAGAGCGCAGCAGTGCTCCCGCTGAGGGTTCAGATCCCATATAGAGACAGGTCCGCTCACTGGTTGAGCGCGGTGTGGGCGCGACACCGAGGGTTGCGATCCCATTGCCGGTCGCGGTACGGGCACAACACCAAGGGTTGCAATCCCGTTACAGGTCACGAAAAAAGACCCAAAAAAAGGAAGAAAAAAAATAATTTACCAATCTTGAGTCATTTTATCTTTCCTAGGCTTTAATACCTTTCTTTTCTTGCTCTCCCCCTTGTCTTGTGCTTTCCCTTTTGAGCCTTTATATTGCTGCTATCTTTCTTATTTTTGTCTATTTTCACCCACCTCTTCTCTCTGCCTCATTATTTCTCCATTTCTATCTCTTAAGATCAGGTGGGGAACAAGAAAAAACAAAAAACATGTTAAAGGAAAGGGAGACTGGGTATAAGGAATATTATTAAATATCTAAGTTTCTTAGGATACAGTTAGTTCAGTGTTTCATTCTGCCTCCTCCTTTGCCTGTTCTAATTCCAAAAGTTTATATTTGAGTACAGTCAAGGAGACCCAGGATCAGCATGCTGAGTTGGGGGGGGGGGGCGAGAGAGAGAGAGAGGAGAGAGTGTGCGCGTGCGCGCACGTGCACTGGGAAGTGTGTGTGTGCGCGTGCCCATGCGCGCGCCCATGCCCACATGTTTGCCTATGTATGGCAGAAGGGTGGAGAAGCTCAATGTCAGTGGTCTAGCCCATCCTCCTCAAGCCTCCATACTTGGAATACTGTTTATTTGGGAAAAACACCTGGAAATAGTATTCAGAGTATAAAGGATCTAGGAGAGAAGACCCTTGTTATCATGTCCTCTTGTTAAGCCCAAGCCCTTCATTTGGGTGTTCATTCTCAGGTAGAACTGAAGTTTCTGTAATATTTGAGAATTTTTTTCATGACTTGAATGTATACAGTCTAGCCAGACCTCATAGCAGCTTGAGACCAGCAGCAGCAGGGATGTGCATGTGCTCTCTCCCTCTCTCTCCATCCCCCACCCCTCGCCACTGCCAACAGCACTGCATGTGCTCCTGTTGCTGCTCTTTCCATCCCCTCACTGATGGTTGGCTTCCTTGGCTTACAATTAAATTTGCACATGACCCAAAGCATTAGCATCAGCTCTCTCTCATATCTAGTGACCTTTCAGCTTCCTTCTGACCCCCAAGCCTCTCTAAAATTCTAAAATTTCACAAAAGAAACCACATTGGTCCAGATCATCCTTTGAAGATAGGCCTCACAAGTCACATTTTCTGGCCAAGTACCCATCCCTTTTCCAATCAGCCGGTGGGGAGGGGGCCTGCCATGTGGTCACTGTCCACATGGTCACGCCTATTGGCAGCAAACTGACAGATATGACCAATATGTCATTAGATATTTACTGAGCACATACTTAATAGTTGCTGGAGATCTAGAGCTCTGAAGGAGCTCTTGGTAGGGGACTCAAATAAAACAGGGATTAGGATGCAGTTAGCTCTGTGAAATGGTGTCTGGGCATTTAAAGAGGTTACCAGTCAGTGTTCTCTGACTAATAGAGGTGGAGCTGCAGAGTATGGTGCTAGTGCCCCTCTCCTAGATTGTACATAGCCCCTAACACCTGGATACATGGGGACTGCCTCGCCCTGAGAAAAATCACAGCAGGTCTGGATAGGAAGGGACTCTGAAAAACTCATGAATGGGACATAACTGAAGTAGGTGACTTCCCGGTCTATATACATATTGGCATGATTCAATCCTGCCTGCAGTCAGCAGACTGACAGGTTCTTCTCTGTTCTGTGTGTTGTGATGACGACAAGGATGACTAGGACACTGCTCCTGCTCACAGTATAGTTCATTCATGCAACTGACATCACTGAACTCTGAGCATAGTTCAGCTTCTGTGGACTGCAAGGTGAAGGAGCCCTGGACCTGCTGCCAAGTAGCTCCTAGCAAAGGGTGCCATAGGAGCGAACCAGTGGGTGCAGGGAAGACAGGAGGAAATGGGAAGGTGGCAGGAAGAGCAGGAGTAATGGCAAGAATGCTACAGCAGCAGTGCCTGTTAGAGGAAATTATAAGTGTCATTTGATTTGAGCATAGAGTAGTAGTCAAGAAGTGACAGAAAATGAAGCTAAAGGTAGATCTTATGATATCATGCTGCCAGGGTAGTAACAGGGCTCAGCAAATGAACTACAAGGACGTAGCACTATCCTGATGAGGCATATTGAAGCAGATTGGTGATGCAGGTCTTGGTCATACGTGTTTGTTTGCATATCCATAATTAATAGAGTGGGCTTACCATACCACATTTTAACCTTTTCTGAGGACAATGGATCCTAATGAAAATCCTTGAGAGAAGCAGGTGAGGGGACAGTCTTGGTGGATGCTCTGAACAATAAATAATTTAGTTACTGTGCGAGTCCTGACTAAAGCAGAAGGGTTTGTGAGGCAGGGAGCCTCAAGTCTTCCGTTGTATTTTTAGCCAATGCAAGCAAGCCTTGAGTACATAAGCTAATTTTGTGGTTAGCAATCGGCAGGGGCTTTCCACCCTTCCCTTCTCCCCCCTTTTACTTCCTTAAACAAAACAAAATGGATTTCTTACATAAAATGGTATAACTTATGTTAAGCTTTGAACTGTCAGCTAGTAGCCGGATCTGATGGCTTTAACACTTACAGGCATACACTGCATCCTGTTGGGCACACAGGATGTTCTGCAGAGCAAGTAAGCTGGTTTGAAAAAGCTAAAATATGCAAGTTATAGCAGAGCATACAATTTTGCACAAAAAAACATGTTTAGTTTAAATGGGTCAATGGTTGTGAGTTAAACTTAGGTAAAGAAGCTTCTTGAGTATGGATCTATCACACCTGGGTGTAAGGGCAGGAAATGTGGTTACTTGAGGAGAGGTCTGTTTTAGAGAGCTACTCTGTTTCTCATCTACATAGGAAAGAGCTGGCAGTCTGTGGTTTTCTTGCTAACACAGAGACAGGCTTGTGACCACAGAGCTATAGAGTGTAGAATGTATTTAGCTGTTTTTACAACTGGGATCTGTGGTTTTCTTGCTAACACAGAAACAGGCTTGTGACCACAGAGCTATAGAGTGTAGAATGTATTTAGCTGTTTTTACAACTGGGATAAAGATGGGGTCAGTCATGTTAACTTGCAACAAGAGGAAAGGTGGATAAAGATCAGGGTGTGCACACAGGCCTACAGCACCTGCCGGCACAGGCACACCGCTCACAGACGGCAAGCACGTGGATGGGGAGGAAGCCTGGCCCACGCTTCTCCACAATCACAGGCTGAGGCCAACCACACCGGGCACCACAACGAGCTGCAGTGAGGGGAGCACAGCATCCCCCATGCTCTCCCCCAAAACACATGACCTGAGTCCAGTCTTCAGGAAGCATCTTGTGAACCCACATTGAGGTGCATTCTGGAGAAAACTAGAAAGTAATGTCCAAAAGCATCCAAGTCAAGGAAAGACTGAGGAACGTTCCAGACTGAACGAGACTCAAGAGACAGGATTCAGGGCAACGTGTGGTTCTGAACCGGATCCTCCTGCTGTGAAGGACACTGGGAGGCTGGGAAAGGCAGGGGGCAGGGGGGAGGGGGAGGAGAGGTTGGTTAATGGATACAAAATTACAGGTGGCAGAAAAAAGTTCTCCTGTTCTATAGCATAGTGAGGTGCTTCTTTCAAAGTAGCTGGAAGAGAGGATTTGGGATGTTCCCAACACAAAGAAATGACAAGTGTTTGAGGTAATGGACATGCCAGTGACCCTGATTTGATCATTACACATTGTATATATGTATTGGAATATCACATGTACCCTGCAAATATGTGCAACTATTATGTGTCAGTTAAAAATAAAAAACTAGGGCCGAGCCCGTGGCGCACTCGGGAGAGTGAGGCGCTGGGAGCGCAATAGCACTCCCGCCGTGGGTTCGGATCCTATATAGGGATGGCCGGTGTGCTCACTGGCTGAGTGCAGTGCAG